TCCAGGGATGGGGCAGCCACAGCTTCTCTGGGCAACCTGGGCCATGTTTCACCATCCTCATAAAAACTGCTCCCTCATATCCAGTCTGAATCCACCTTCTCTGAGTTTGAAACCACCATCCCTTGTCCTGTCCCTCCAGCCCTTGTCCCCAGTCCTTCTCCAGCTCTCCTGGAGCCCCTTTAGGCTCTGGAAAGGGCTCCAAGGTCTCCCTGGAGCCTTCCCTTCTCCAGGTGAGCACCCCCAGCTGTCCCAGCCTGGCTCCAGAGCAGAGGGGCTCCAGCCCTGGGAGCAGCTCTGGGGACTCCTCTGGACTCGCTCCAGCAGCTCCACGTCCTCCTGCTGTTGGATCCCGGAGCTGGAGGCAGCTCTGCAGGTGGGGTCTCACCTGAGGGGGCAGAATTCCCCCCTCGCTGCTGTGGGATCAGCCCAGGACACAGGGGGGTTTCTGGGATGGGGCAAGTCCAGCCCCTCACCCACCAACACCCCCAGGTCCTTCTCCCAGGGCTGGTCCTGGTCCCTTCATGCCCATCCTGGACTGATCCCAGGGGTTGCCCTGACCCAGGATCACATCCCCTCCTTTCCTGCCTGGCCCTTCTGAACAGCCTCCACTCCTGGTGTCTCCATCCCTGTCCCCCTTCCCATTCCTGGTGTTCCCATCCTAGTCCTGGTGTTCCCATCCTAGTCCTGATGTCCCCTTTCCCAGCTACTGGTGCCTCCAACCTGCTCCCAGTGTCCCCATCCCTGTCCCCAGTGTCACCATACCCATCTCCCCTGTCCCCATTCCCATTCCTGAGGTTCCCATCCCTGTCCCCATTCCTGAAGTTCCCATCCCTGTCCCCATCCCCATTCCTGGTTCCCAGAGAGGAACTGCCGGATGCCAGAGGAGGGAACCAGGATTTATTGCCCAAAGCAGGAGATTTTCACACCACAATTAAAGCCTCAGTAATAATTGTGCTCCTGGGTTTCACAGATGGAAAAGCAGGAAGTTGATCCATCGGGAAGAGCCGTAGGGAGGCCGGGCTGGGTGGGAGCAGCGGGATGAGCTCTGCCAGCAGCTCCTGCCTTTCCGCAGGGACAGGGAAGGGGCGGATCCAGCTCCATGATCACTTAGGCCATGAGTTCTGTCGGGATGAGAGCGGGGAAAGGAGTCCCCATGTCCCTGTTCCCATCCCAGGGGATGGATCCGGCTGGGAAGCCCATGGAGAGCAGCAACTGCTCTGGATTCCCTCCTGATCCTGCTCCGTCCATCCCATCCCAATCCCACTCCAGAATCCAGCCCTGATCCCAGCCCACAATTCCACCTGATCCCACTCTGCAATCCTGCCCTGAACTGCAATCCCACTCCAATCCCGCTCCATCCATTATGGCCCAATTCCCCTCTAGAATCCCTGGATTCATCCTGGCATCCCAGCAGGGAGGATCTGGATCCACCCACGCTGCTGGTACTCACTGGTGGGTGCAGGGTTGTATCCATTGGGTGCAGGGTTGTATCCATTGCCCTTTCCCTTCCCTATGGAAAGAAAGCAGGATCAGCACCTGTGGCACAGGATCCCCGGAATGCTGCCGGGCGGATCCGGGCCCCTTCCCGACCCCCATCCCGTGAGTTACCGGCTTGGAGCTTCCAGACAACGACTGCGATGAAGCCGATGATGACGATGGCAGCGATGACGGACACAGTGACCAACACCAGGGTGGAATTCCAGACGGATTCCGGCTCTGGGAAGGGCGGGAGGGTGAGCAGGGGGAGGGTTACCCCCATCCCGCTGCCCCACACTCCCAAATTCCTCGTTCCCACACGCCCAGTTGCCACATTGCCCGTTCCCAGGCTCACCCCAGGTGAAGATCCCGGGCTCCGGCATTCCGGCGTGCTCCACCCGGCACCGGTACTGCTCCCGCTCCCCCGGCAGCGCCTCGATCCTGGCCCAGCTGTGGAAGGTGCCATCGCTGTTGGGAACGATCCCGCCCCACTCCGTCTCCTGATCCCGGATTTCATCCCCCTTCATCCAGTTGATCCCGATGATCCTGGGGTAGAATCCGTACGCGTGGCAGGACAACGTCAGGATCCCGTGTTCCTCTTTCCCAGACACGTGGACATCAGGGGGCTCTGGAGTGGGATAAGGGTGAGATCCATCCATGGAATTCCCATGGGAATGGGACCACAGTGAGATCCATCCACAGAATTCCCACTGGAATAGGACAACAGTGGGATCCATCCATGGAATTCCCATGGGAGTTGGATGACTCAGATTCATCCACGGAATTCCCACAGGAATTCCCATGTTCCTCAGTACCACCTTCCCAAAATCCCACATTCCCAAATCCCACATTCCCATGGGAATTCTGTCTCCCTCACCTCTGTGCTCCAGCGCCTCCTGCCCATATCCAACATATTTCCGGATCCATTCTGGACAGCTGTTCCCCAGGTAATTGGTCAAATGGTCCACCGCGATCCCATCAGATTCCCATTTCCTCTTGGTGATCTGGGCAGCTCCATCGGCCGCCACGAAGCTCCTGGATCCCAGTTCGAAGGAGATGAAATCCCGCCTGTCGTAGCCGTCCCGATAGGATCCACGGACGCTCCCGTCGGACAGGAGGTCACAGCCAGAAACCCATTGCATTGTGTGGAGACCTGGGGGGTGGGATCAGACCCAGAGAGACCTCTGGAATTGTGTCCCAGCCCCACAGAGGTCCATTCCAGCCCTATGAAGCCCCAGAGCCCGATAGAGACCCACAGATCCCATTCCAGCCCCTTGGAGTTCCCTAGATCCCCATCCAAGCCCCACAGATCCCATTCCAGCCCCTTGGAGTGCCCTGGATCCACATCCCAGCCCCACACATCCCATCCCAGCCCCACACATCCCATCCCAGCCCCAC